ATATATTTTATGATTAATGATATCACAGCATGTCATAACTATGTACTTACATTTTTCACTTGAAAATCCATCTTTCCCATATAAGCATACATGGCCCTTTTTCATTCTTCTTAAACTGCCATATTCTAATTTCCAGTATGATTGTCACCACTATTAGTTTAACCACCCCTCTGGAAACATTTGTTTCCAGTCTTCATTATAATAATAATAATAATGAATAATATAATTTATCTGAGAATAGACTATAAAAAAATGAATTTTCAGGCTATGTTCATCACCATTGCCACTGCTGAGACCCAGGTAACACTATGGAGGGCGGCCCCAACCATCACCATCCTTGCTGTTGTGACCTAGGTGAACCACGCCTGAAGGCCCAGAGAATGAATGGGCCTTGCTGCTGCCTTGACTGAGACTGAGGTGAACTGCACAGGAAGGCCCAGAGACCAGAGGGAACACCAGTGACACTATGAACGCACTCAGCCACTTTATCTTTGATAAAAGGATCAAATATGTTCACTAGAAGAAAGATAACCTCTTTAGTAAGTGATGCTGGAAAAAGTGGCTCTCCAGAAGCCAAGGACTAAAACTAGACCCACGTCTATCACCATGCACTAAACTAAAGTCAAATGGATCAAAGATCTAAATATAACCTAAATAGCAGACCTACTGGAAGACAAAGTAGGTAGAAATCTTGAAGACACAGGGTTAGACAGAGAGTTCATGAACAAAACTCAAACTGAACAGAAAAAACTTCAAAGAATCAACTGGATCACATCTTACTAAAAAGCTTTTGTGCATGAAAAGAAATTACCAATGCATTTAAAGTCAACCCAAAGATTGGGAAAAAAATTTAGCCAATTGTTTTTCAGACAGTGGACGGACTTCTATCAGACAGTGGACAGACTTCTATCTAGAACATATAAAGAACTGAAAAAACTCAGTCCCACCCCACTGAAAGAACCAATCCAGAAATGGGCATCTAAGATGAATATACACTTCTCAGATGTATAAATACAAATGGCAAATAAGTATGTTTGCAAATGTTCACATCATTGGTTATTTGAGAGATGCAAATTAAAATAACATTGAGATTTCATCTCGTCCCAGAAAAAAATTGGCTATCATCAACAAATCAACCAATAATAAATGATAGAGGTGCTGTTGGAAAAAAGAGCCCTTCTCCACTGTTGGTGGGAGTGTAGACTGGAACAAGCAGTGTGGAAATCAGTGTGGAGATTCCTCAAAGAGGTGGGACTAGTGGTCTTATTTGACCCAGCTATTTCCCTTCTGAGTCAATTCCCTGAACAATTTAAAACATTATACCATAGCAATATATGTGCAACAATGTTTACAGCAGCACAACTTATAACACCTAAATCTTGGAAACAACCCAAATGCCCATCAACCAAGGAATGGAAAGAAAAGATGTGGTCCTTTTATACAATGGAGTACTATTCAGCCATAAATAAGGATAAACTGTAGACTTCTATAGGTAAATGGGTACATCTTGAGACCCTATTCATAAGTGAAGCAAATCAGACTCACATGTGTAAATACTGCACTGTTTTCCTGGTGGGAGAAACTGAGAGAGTAAATAAGGTCTAAAATGTACAACAGATACTGTGAGATGGGAAGAAATTGTTGAAAAGGAAAAAGAAACTAGCATAGAGGAAGGGGAAAGCAAGGAAGTTGAAAAGAGAAAAAATGCAACTTAGTTATACTACTTGTGCCTCACAGTTCACAGAAAAGGAAGATTTGCACTTACACCAATTGGAGAAGTTTTTATGTCCACATCTTGTCTTCTGTGTAAAAGATAATAATATGCAATGTCTTCACTATTGTTATTCTATCATCTTGTTATAAAATTGTTTTAGCTTTTTTCCATAGAAGAAATGAATTTTCTTGGATATGTAGTTTTAGTACTCTTAGTTTTATAAACATAAATTTACTTTGTAAAACAGTTGTCATCAGTTAAGACTGTATCAGACTCCTGAGAGCCAGGCTCTAATTCTGACTCTCCTATTTACAAGTGAAAAATGTAAAGACAGGGGCCAGGGAGACAGCTCAGTGGAATAAGCGCTTCCCTGGCAAGCACAAGGGTCTGAGCTCAATCCCTGGCTCTGCAAAAAAAAAAAAGTAAAGACAGTTACTTATTTGTGCTTTTGTTTCCTTATCTGTGAAATGTGGAAAATGCTATTTATTGAATGTATTAGTCTCCTCAGATACTATCAAGTTAGTTTCATAATCTGTACATTTGTCTTCACTAGTATTACTTCTGTTACAATAGCTTTAAGATTATGTTTTCCTAGCTAATAAAGAAAACCTCTTGTTCCCTCTCAATATTAGCTGCTACTCTTGAGAATTTATTCTTCTATATAAAAAAGGCTGTCTTTTGTCAGGCATGGTGACTCACGCCTGCAATGCCATCTGCTTGGGAGGCTAAGCCAGAAACACGGCAAACACAAGACCAGTCTAGATAGCAAAGTGAAACTCTAGCTAAAAATATAAATCTTCTTAAAAGGTTGGGGATATAGCTCAGTGGTAAAGTGTATCTCCATTTGATCTCCATTATAACTAAAGAAAAGACAAAAAATTGCATTATATGAAAGTACTTCCTATTACACAGTATTTATTAAATAATTTGAAGATGGCTATTTTTATACTATTAAACATTACCACCCAATATGTATTTATATTTTGTATTACAACCTAAAATAAAATTTTACGGTTTTCTCCACAATATACATTTTTTCATTATTTTAAGTAATTTTATTTCTATTATGAAAAATATCTTTTTCCTACTACATATTCTACTTAGTGTTAATTATTAGAATACCTTTTTTCATTCCTTTAAAAATATCTTCTTAAAACAATAAATGCACATAATTTTTAAAAATCAAATGATACAGAAGGATATGACAATCAATAAATCCTTGCCTTACCCTTATTTCTCAGTTCACAAACCCAGACACAAAAATGCTTTCCAGAATCATAAATTTGAGGCTTTTTATAGTAAATAAATGAACTAGAGACCATACGTATAAGTAAAATTAATCAGACCCATGTAACATTGTATTATGTCACTAGGGAAGAACCTGAATAAGTAAATAAAATGTGAAAGGTAAAATAGATACTGTGAAAGGGAAAGAACCTGTTCAAAGGGAAGGAACAACTGAGATGAGCAAAAGGCCAGGACAGGCAGGGAAGGGGAAGAAAGATATCTTTATGAATGCAGGATGGCTCCAATACTTGTACAGCTGATTTCTGCTGGTCTACAGAAGGGAGTGGTTGATTGCTTTACTTTCTCTTTCTCTCTCTCTCGCTTACTCTTTCTCTCGCTCTCTCTCTCTCATTCTTTTAAATTTCTTATAACATTTTTTATTTCCAATTTTGCATGCTTACATCTGGTAATCTGAACAACTAATTTGAAGACAACATTATGTACTACAGCAACCACTGTTGAATTTCTATTGATTTATTTGGTGAAGTTTTGTATCATTTCTCATGTTTTTGTTTTTTACTCTTTTGCATTCTCTGTAATAATAAAAAAAATTCTTGACATGTTTTTTTTTTTTTTTTAATCATGGTCACTAAGTCCATTTTCTTACTATGCTTTTCTTCCTTGTGTTATAATAGGGTCTAACATACCATGCCCCTACCCCAAGCCTCTTGTGTTTATAAAGTGACTGAATCCTGAAGGATTGTGTTTATAGTGGATTATTCCATTAATGAGTTCAGTATCTAAATGTGCTGTTTAAAGGTGGTACCAGTTGGAGGTGGGTCTTTGGAAGGGTGTGTTCTTGTCCCTGACTCTGCCTTTCTCCCTGCTTTTTAGCTTCCAAAGGGATGATAGTTTCCCTCCACCAGGCCCTCCCTGCCATGCAACTTCTACCACGGAGCCGACTTACCATGGACTGAAATCATGAGCCAAAATAAATCTCTTTAAATTGTAGGTGCCAGATACTTTCTGCCAGTGACAGGAAAGTATCCAATACACTATGCTTTTCATACTACTTTTTGACTTAATGTTCTGAAGTATTTTCTGTTGACACTGCAATCTCTGGCCCTGCTATCTCCTCAAAAAAGCCATCTTATATTTTAACCTGTCTGCTGGCTATCTTGATTACATTAATAATCTAATGTATAGCTCTACCTTATTCTCTCAGGTACAGACAGAATTTTCCACATTCTAGTTTATGTATGCAGTAGTACTGTATTATTCTACATACATTTCCTTTCCTCTCTGCCTTTCAGTCTGTGAATGCACTTTTATACTGTCAAGGTTAGTAAACCTGCATCCTGTCATCTAATCATAATTAATCCTTGCCTCCTTTGCCTAAGGATGGACTGCAAAAGCTGAAAAACCAATATTCATACTATTTATTTATTTATTTATTTATTTATTTATTTATTTGGTACAGGGTCTACAGGGTTTCACTACACACATCAGACTTGTAGTGATCCTTCTGTTTTCAGCCTCCCAAGTGCTGGGATTATAGGCATGCGCCACCACTCCCAGTCTCAATCACAGGCTCAGTGCATTCCGGGGGCAGGGCTGGCAGGGCATATAGAGCCAGGGATAGAACCCTGGTCCCTGCATCTGCCTAAGCAGGTGCTTTTATGCACTGAGCTATCTGGCCGACCTGCATTACTGGTATTTAAATACACTCTACTGAATATCAAAGTTTCATACTATTACTAGATTTTCTTATCAATTTTTTAAAGCTTTCATCAACGCACAATGTCGAATGCCCTTTCTCACATCTCAGCAACTATTCAAAATTATGCACAAGCTGAGTATGTAAACCAAACACATCACATGTGAACCACATGCTTCACATATGAAGCATTTTTTAATGATGTTTCTTTACTCTTTAGTTCTTGACTGTTACTGTTTTGTGGGCGATAAGAGGTAAGAATAAATGTATGTTCCATTCATAATTATCTTGTTGCTATTCTCCTCCAGCTTCTTAGAGTCATAGAAAATAGAAGTGACTTACTTAAATGGTATAAACAAAAATGGTAAAGTAGTTTCTTTTTTCTGAGTCATTTTCACCTGGGAACCAAGCATGAAAATATTTTAGTATATTAAATTAACAAAAATAAATTTCATTTCGAAATATAAACATCTATTAAAATGGTTCTTCAGGGGTGGTTAAGTACTGTAAAAATAAATGGAATTTTGTGTTACTATAGTTTCATAAATATTTAAAGAAAAACAATATTATCTTACTACCTCAAGGAGCTGTGAATTGAGCCTATCAATCCTGCAAAATAACATACTGTAATGTAATTAAAACTAATTTTTAAAACTTAAAATAATTTAAAACTAAATTTTTTTAACTCCTTGAAAACAAAATAAACCAAAGTTTTGGTCAAAGAATCACTTCTTTAAGTTCCTAATATATCTAATAACATACATGGAATGAAAAGAAATGTTGTGATCTCCAATGATACTTCTACAGTAAAAATTCCAATTAATATAAACTTAAATTGTAGCCTTTATAAGCACAAGTCAAAGCCAATATGACTAATAGAGCCTGTGTTCCACAAATGAGAATCTTTATGACACTAAGCAATATAAAAATCTAAAGATAATGAACTACAGAAAATTTATTAAAACAAGAAAAAGTATTTTCACCTAATGTATTCAATTTTTAAATTATACTATTGTTCATCTATATATATTTTTACCTTGAACTGTTCAAGTATCTGCACTGCATTTGTAAATATGCTCTCTGCTTTAAAGAGGTCTGTGTTGTTCAGATAATCCATAGGAAGGATTCCCTGTAAATAATAAATATTGGCTTAGTATTAGCATTAATTTAGTTCAGGCTATTCTTATAAAATGGAATCGATCTAAGAGAAACAAAAAAGATATGATACACAGAAAAATTACTGGATTAAATGAAAAATCCTTTTAAGAATCATAACTGAAAGATGTTCTATAATTCTTGTTACCAAATAGGTATAATAAAGTAAATAAAGCAAACAAGCTAATTTAAATTCAAACAAACTAATTTAAAACCTAACATTGATTGAGAAACTATCTCTATGGCCTAGATAGTGAATGTCCCCTAAAGGTCCACGTGTTAAAGCCACTTCTGGGAAGTCTTGGAATTTGTAAGAGGTGGAGCATAGGGTGATGTCTTCAGTTCACTGGGGCGCGCTGTCAAAGAAGAGCATGAGACTCAAGGCTTTTCCTTCCTCTCTTTCACACCTTGATCACAAGGTGAGAAGTCTGGCTCTACCATGCATCCACCATGATGTATATCCAAGGACTGAAACCTCTAAAACTTATTTAAGACAAACCAAACCATTTTTCTTTGAGTTGATTACCTCAGGTATTTCTTATATTGAAAAACAAAAAACCTAACAAACATATATACTATGTGCTAAACAGTCAACTAAGTATTTTATACCCACACTTACGCCCTCTCTCCCCCCCCCTCTCTCTCTCTCTCTCTC